CAGAAACCCTGTGACCTGACACCATCAAACGTGGCCCAGGGCAGTGCCCTCGATGTCTCCTGCAGCCAGAAACCCTGGGACCTGACACCATCAAATGTGGCCCAGAGTAGTGCCCTCGATGTCTCCTGTAGCCAGAAACCCTGCGACCTGACACCATCAAATGTGGCCGAGTGCTCCAACATGGACAACGGTCTAGAAGACCAGAACTCACCATTCCTCTCACCACTCAGCACTCATGTCAATTCTCAGGACTTGGCAAGCACCTACAGCAGCATTGAGAATAGCCAAGCTTCAAATGAAGCCCAGGAAATATGGAGGCCCTCCTTTGTCATAGGGCTTCCCCCTGTCCTGACCAGGCCTGAAGGAGCAGCCCCCACTTCAGGTCCTGATAGGCCCCAGTTCAAGGGCCCCACTGTTGAGACAGGCTGTCTGAGGAGTAAGTCTCCCTTGGTTGAGGGAAGTGCTACAAGTCTGGTGAAGGAGATTGTGCCACTGTGCCTGTCAGAAACAGGCTGCCCCAAGGGACAGGTCAGAATGAGCACATTTGAGAAGGGCACACAGACCCTCGGTTGTAGTCTCCGCTGGAGCTGCACCGACATCTCTGCCCCGTCTGAAGCCAGTGTAATGTCCACCCCTGAGCTGGCCTCGTGTGCCAGCATGCAGAACCTGTCCCTCCACCTCTCCCAGCTCCTGCACAGTACCTCTGAGTTGCTTGGGAGTCTCTCCAAGCCCAGTGTGGACAGAAAGGAGCAGAACACCAAAAGAAATACCCCCAATGAGGCCCCACAGACCCTTCTGATGATGGACAGCTTTACTCAGACCACAGTGGATGAGGGCAGCCAGACTGACCTGATCTTACCTCTATGCTACCAGGCCTCAGAGGCCAAACCTCAGGAAACTGATAGGATCCTTAAGGTGCCGAGCTCAGATACCTCAACCATGTCTCAAGAAAAGGGAGATGTTGCTCAGAAGAAAGAAGAGGCAGAGGAAACAGCATGGAAAATGGCACAGCCCCCAGATCTCCAGGAGGAAAGCACTCACTGCAGATCCCAGAGCCCTCCAATACTCTCAGCCCTGCTACAGTTTCAAAAAGACCCTATTGGGCAGAGTCTTCCTTCTGCAAGCCCAGCAGTTTCTGATGCTTTTCTGCTTCCCATCTCCCAGCCAGAAGAATCCTGTTCCGTGGTTGCCAGCAACTCTAGCCTCAGCACCTCTCACTGCCCAGGGCTCTTCCTCAATACTTCACAGGCCCTCGGGGAGCCCAGGGAACAGAAGGAGCTGGACTCCACAAATGCCTTGTTGGTGGACAGGGCCTCCTCCCCCATCCTTGCTCTTTGTCCAAGCACCCAAGAGTCAGGTCTGCCCCCAGGCTCTTTGACTCCCTCAGCTCCCCCTCTTGAAGGTCACCAGAAGCTTGATTCCTGCCCTGATCCTCCTCTTGGTACCTTGGAGCCTCTAATGGATAATTATTCCCAAACCATTGAGTCAGATGGTTCCCAGACAGCCGAGAAGCTGGGTGGAGAGGGTAGAAGTCCCTTAGAGAGGAGTGTTGTGAGGTCCTTTCTTGAGTTACGCTCCACACACAGCCCACAGCAGAGCCCAGATCTCCAAGTTAATTTCATAGAGCAGCCCTCTCAGCAGCGTGAGCTCAGCACCACTACTGAGGTCCGAAGCAGACTGCTACCTCTACCGTGGCCACAGAGGAGCCAGAGGCTGGCTGACGGCCTGGTGCCTGAAGAGGAGGTTTCCCCAGAGGTTGGCCCACTGAGCAGTAAGGGGCCAAGTCGATGGCAAAGCAAATCAGAAAATGCAGGTGAGAGCTCAGTCTCTCCAGGGGAGCCTCAGCCTTCTCTGGACCTTTTCTCTTCATGGAGAGGCCTCCAACACTTCAGCCCCTGCCCTGTCTCTGAGCTGACTGATAATACAAGGCTCCAGGGTCCTGCCTTGAGCCTCCCTCAGGCCTGCCAACCTGAGGGGCTGCTGTGCCCCAGTTCCCAGATGTGCATGACCCCTGACCCACAGCATCACAATCTGAGGGACCTCCCAGTGCATAATAAATTTAGGAACTGGCATGGGGTTCAGGATGGCTCTTCTGGGAGCCTGGGTGTGACTGAAGAGCTGGGGGCCAGCTGTGATCTCAGCGAGGGAGAGCAGGGACAGAGTACCCCACATCCTCTTGAAGGCCAGAGCCAGGGTCCTGAGTGGTCCCAAAGGGAGCAGATTCCCCTGCAAGTTGGGACACAGAATCTCTCACTCAGCATGGAACTCACAGAAGCCAAACTGCACCGTGGCTTTGGGGAGTCAGACGCCCTGCTGCAGGTACTACAGAGTGGGGCCGGGGAGGCACTTGCTCCCGACAAACCTGCGCTGTCCACCTGGGAGGAGCTCCATGCCCGGTAAGGCCCAGTCTGCTGTTGGGCAGGGTGGGGTGGAGTAGGGGTTTGGGGGTTGAGAGGGAAGAACTGAGCAAAACGATAGTTTACTGTTCCCTTGGCTGGTGTTTGTCTCTGGGGTCTCCCAGGGTCAGAGATATGACTTGAGGTGAAAGGGCATTTGGTGCCAGCTTCGGTGAGTCAATCACATTTTGTCTCAGGCAAAAAACCACCATTGAGAACCTCAGGAGAGAGAGGGCTGAGCGACTCCAGAACTTCCATCGGACACGGAGCTTAAGCCCCCAGAAACAACTGACCCTCCTGCCCAATAGGGATTTCCCCATCCAGGACCTTGACTTTCCCAGCAGGCGCCGAGAATACCTGCAGCAACTGAGGAAAGATGTCGTGGAGACCACCAGGTGAAGGCAGACTCAGAACCCTACAAGGAGCAGGCTTTGTAGTGGGGGGGGGGGCACGCTCCTGGGGAACAGGGGCTGGAGTTTTAGCACCCTGGGGTTCTCCATATTGTGGGCCATGCCCACGCTTTGTGGAGGTGGGTATGGGAGACTGGGGCAAATGGAGAAAGGATGCAGGGGACAGTAGGGTGAGGAAGGGGTGGGCAGAGAAGAGTTCTGGGGAAGGATAGAGGGGGGTGGGGAAGACCTGACATGCTGTGCAAGTCTGCAGGCCTGGACCTCAAAGTGGCTTGTTCTTCTCTGTCCAGCAACATCTTCTGAGGATATAAAATCAAACTTTAAGATCCTGTGGGTAAAGGGAGGATGAAGCCTTCTAGGAGGTGGTATTCAGCTAGTGCTATCACCGGCATCGTGTGAGAAGGTGTCTTTCCGTCCTGTAATCTCCCCTAGGAGCCCAGAGTCAGTGTCCCGACCTGTGCACTCACCCTTGGACATAGAGCTGATGCTGCAAGACTACCAGCGGGCGCGTGAGGAGGCCAAGGCAGAGATTGCCCGGGCCCGGGACCAACTGCGGGAGCGGGTAGAACAAGAGAAGCTGAGGATCCGCCAGCAGATCACTTCCCAGCTGTTGAGGGTGGGGAGTGGGGCAGGCCTCTCTTTTTGGGATGGACTTGGAGCCCGGGGCAGACCCCAGACTGGATTAGCCTTTGCCATGGCTGCCTCTTAGTCTTGGGATATAACATTTGGAGGAGAGAGTGGGAGCCCTGGTATCAACTCAAAGCTGAACTCCTTTACATCCTCAGTAGACCAGCTCCTATCCCCAGGCCACAGTCTGGGAGGAAGAGGCTTTGGCATATGGTAGGGAGTCGGGGGAAGTGTGAGGAGCGATGGCTTTAGGAAACTGTGGGGTGTGAGGCTGAGTTGGGAGACAAAGGCAGGTGGGTGATAGGGGCTATAGAGGTGAGAAAGGGTGTTTGGGGGTTGGACCTGGGTGTAGGTGATGAGGGTATATCCCAAGCTGCTTGGTGATGGTTTGGCCTTCCCAGGAGGAAGAAAAACTCCACAGCCTGGCTAACTCCAGCTCCCTGTGCACCAGCTCCAATGGAAGCCTCTCGTCTGGTGTGACCTCTGGCTACAACAGTAGCCCAGCCTTGTCAGGCCAGCTCCAGTCCCCAGAAAACGTGGTAAGTAGGCAAATGTTGGGAGCAAGTTGGACTGGGCAGGACACTGTGCCTTCTGGGGCACACTGCTGATATGGGCCCTCTCATGTGCAGGCCTTTGCCGGTCCCTATAGTCCTGCTCCCCCTCTCTCTGTTTATCCATTCATTCAGCGAGCATTTGTTATATAGGCGTTATTTTAGGATACTGCCGTAAGCAAAACTGTTCTTGACCTTAAAACAGACTGTTAGAGGGGCAAATGTTAAACAAATTATTTTCTGATTGTGTAATTATTATTGCCATAGTTATTTGAAGCAGGGGTGGTAGCCCAGCATAAAACAGGGGATCTGACCTGGTCTGGAGGGTTAATAGAGATACTCTGAAGAGAGCATTTAAACTGAGCCCAGAAAGGCGAGAGGTGCTTAATAGTACAGTGAAAGTTTAGTGACACTGGTGTAAGAGATGTGGGCCCAGCAAGATGGGCCTTGAGGAGAGTCTGAGGTACTAAATGAGAGCTAGTGTAGGGCCATGGGAGAATGACATGGAAGAGGATTAGAAAAGGCCCAATCATGTAGACGCTAGGGAGATTTCTGCCGCCCCCCCCCTTTTTTGAGACAGAGTCTCAAGCTATCGCCCTGGGTAGAGTGCTGTGGCATCACAGCTCACAGCAACCTCTAACTCTTCGGCTTAAGAGATTCTCTTGCCTCAGCCTCTCAAGTAGCTGGGATTACAGGCGCCGGACAAAGCGCCCAGCTTTTTTTTTTTTTTTTTGAGACAGAGCCTCAAGCTATCACCCTGGGTAGAGTGCCATGGCCTCATAGCTCATAGCAACCTCCAACTCCTGGGCTCAAGCAATTCTCCTGCCTCCTGCCTCCCACCTCCCAAATAGCTGGGACTACAGGCCACAATGCCTGGCTATTTTTTGGTTGCAACTATCATTGTTGTTTGGTGGGCCCAAGCTGGTGGGATTCGAACCCGCCAGCTGAGGTGTATGTGGCTGGCACCTTAGTCGCTTGAGCCACAGGTACTGAGCCACGCCCAGCTTTTTTGGTAGTTGTTGTAGTTGTCATTGTTGTTAGCTGGCCCCAGCTGGGTTTGAACCCACCAGCCTCAGTGTGTGTGGCCAGCGCCCCATGAATGGCGCTACAGGCACTGCCTCCTGGCCCCTTTCTCATCTCTTCTATTGTGTTACTTCCCACAAGTGAGGAAGCTCATGACAGTAATAGAAAGGTCTTAGGTAGCAGAGTAGACCAATGGGATTGTGACAGGAGGCAGAAGTGGCTGTGAGGAGACTTGTTAGATGACCATGACAAAGCTGAGCAACAGGGCATGAATATGCACGGAAGTTGTAAAGGGATGGCATCCACAGGACTCAGTGACTGGCTAGATGTTAAAGGAAGGGAGAGAGAGGAGTCTAGAACAGCACACCCTTTAAATTTGAACATGGAAGGGGTAGTGATGTTAACAATAATAAGAAACCTCAGAGGGAAGACCAGATTTTGTGGGGAAAGATCAAGAGTTTTGGGGGGGGGGTTTGAGACAGAGTCTTACTTTATTGCCATCCATAGAGAGCTGTGGCGTCACAGTTCACAGCAACCTGAAATTCCCCAAGTAGCAGGGACTACAGGCGCCTGTGACAACGCTATTTTTTTTTTTTTGGCCGGGGCTGGGTTTGAACCTGCCACCTCCGGCATATGGGGCCAGCACCCTACTCCATGAGCCACAGGCGCCGCCCCAACGCCCAGCTGTTTTTTTAGAGACAAGGTCTTGATCTTGCTCAGGCTGGTCTTGAACTCCTGAGCTCAAGCAATCCACCCACCTCAGCCTCCCAAGTGCTGGGATTACAGGCATGAGCCACGGTGCTCGGCCAAAACAATCAAGAGTTTAGATTTGAGGGGTGGCGCCTGTGGCTCAGTAAGTAGGGCGCCGGCCCCATATACCAGAGGTGGTGGGTTCAAATCCAGAACTGGCCAAAAACTGCAAAATAAATAAATAAATAAATAGTTTAGATTTGAGCTGGATGCAGTGGCTCATACCTATAATCCTAGCACTCTGGGAGGATGAGGCAGGTGGATTGCCTAAGCTCAGGCATTCAAGACCAACCTTAGCAACAGCCCCCGTCTCTTCTAAGAATACAAAAATTAGTCAGGCAACAGGGTGGGCTCCTGTAGTTCTAGCTACTGGGAGGCTGAGGGAGGAGCATCGCTTGAACCCAAGAGTTTGAGATTACTATGAGCTATGATATCATAGCACTCTACGCAGGGGTACAGAGTGAGACTGTCTCAAAAAAAAAAAAAAGTTTAAGATTTGTATTTACTGGATTGAAGGTGCCTTGAGAAATCCCGAAGGAATGACTGGAATCAGGTAGGCAGTTAAAAATACAGATCTGGAGCTCACATAGTAAATAAAAAGATATTCAATCAGTAGCAAAGGACATACAATACCAGGGTGCATCTTTGAGTCTTGTTTGCCTTCCCCAGAAGCATCTGTCCCCGTTTGGTGCATCTGTGAGAATGTAGTTTTTGTAAAGAACATGGATAGAAGTTTACGGTACTCACTTTGTCTCTTTGCTTTGTTCCCTTAAAAAATTCTTCTGGATATCATCGCATATCAGTAAATCTAGTACTCACTTATTCTTTTAAATAACTGAATTGAGTTTCTTTTTTCACTTATTGCATGTCTTTAAGTGTAGTGTTTTATACAGATAACATTTGTGTAGTAGACAAGGCAAACAAACAAACAGTACACACACACACAAACACACATACATACAGGTCAAGTATCCCCCAGTCTGAAATTTGAAATCAAAAGTGCTCCAAACTCTGAAACTTTTGAACACCAATGTGATACCACAAGTAGAAAATTTCACACTTGACCTCATATGACAAAACACAGTCAAAAGTTTGTTTTGTTTGCAAAATTATTGAAAATATTGCATAGTTTTGGCTTCAGGCTATGTGTAGAATGTGTATGAAATGGAAATGAATGTTGTTTTTAGTCTTGAGTCTCATCCCTAGATATCTCATTTTATACATGCAAATATTCCCAAATCCAAAAGATTTCAAAATCCAAAACATTTCTGGCCTCAGCATCTTTTTTTTTTTTTTGAGACAGGATCTCACTCTGTCACCCTGGCTAGAATGCAGTGATGTCATCATAACTCACAGCAACCTCAACTCTTGGGCTTAAGAGATCCTCTTGCCTCAGCCTTCCAAGTAGCTGGGATTACAGGTGCCTGCCACAGTCCTCAGCTAGTTTTCCTATTTTTGGTAGAGATGGGGTCTCACGCTGGCTCTTGTTCTGGTCTCGAACTCCATGAGCTCAGGCAACCCACCCACCTCGGCCTCCCAGAGTGCTAGGATTGCCGGTGTGAGCCCCTGTGCCTGGCCTGGTCTCAGCATTTTGGATAAGAGATCCTTGGCCTCTAAAAAGGTATATAGGAAAATACCCATTTGCTGCCCACAATCTACCTTGTCTTTCTCTTTCATCCCACTCAAGGAAAATGGTGTCTTTTTTTTTTTTTTCTTTTTGAGAGAAGGAGAATCCTCCTAGGGTCTTTATGCATATAATAATGTACATTATGCTGCTGATTTATACTTTATGTATTTTTTTGCTCAGTCTATTTTTTGTAGCTTTTTCTCTTCTTTTTTCTGTTTCTTCTCTATGAACATGGGATATCTTTCTATTTATTTCTACCTTCTTTAAATTTTTCATAAATGTTTTATGGTTTTCACTGTAAAGATCTTTTATCTCCTTGGTTAAATTTATTCTTAGGTCATTTATTTATTTATAAATGGGATTGCTTTCTTGATTTCTAATAGTTTGCTATTGGTATATAGAAAAGCTACTGATTTGTGTGCACTGATTTTGTATCCTGCAACTTACTAAATTCATTTTTTTCTAACATTTTTTTAGTGGAGTCTTTAGGATTTTCTATATGTGAGATCATGTCATCTGTCATCGGGGACAGTTGGACCTCGTCCTTTTCAATGTCAGTGCTTCTTATTTCTTTCTTTTGCCTAGCTGCTCTGGCTGGAACATGCAGTAGTATGTTGAAAAAGTCACAAGAGTGAACATCCTTGTTTTGTTCCAGATCTTAGAGTAAAAGCTTTTACCTTTTTCTCATTCAGTATGAGGCTAGCTGTGAGTTGCTTATATATGGCCTTTATTGTTTTGAGGTATATTACTTTTCTACCAAGTTTACTGAGAGCTTTTAATCATAAAAGGGTACTGAATTTTACTGGATGCTTTTCCAGCTTGGGTCCTGCATCCTTCTGATGTGCCCTGCCCTGTTGTCAGTACAGGCAGTCCCTGGGTTATGGACAACATGACTTACGGGCATTCCGTGCTTACAAACGGGCTCCCAAGGCTCCTCATGAGGATAATTTATAATTAAATAATTCAATTGATAATTCAGGAACTGGTTCCTTCTGCACATGTAAACAAACCCACGTGGCATATGTGGTTTGCTGGCACGGTGTCTTTTTTTTTTTTGAGACAGGGCCTCAAGCTGTCCCCCTGGATAGAGTGCCGTGGCATTACAGCTCACAGCAACCTCCAACTCCTGGGCTCAAGCGAGTCTCCTGCCTCCGCCTCCCAAGTAGCTGGGACCACAGGTGCCTGCCACAACGCCCGGCTATTTTTTGGTTGCAGCCGTCATTGTTGTTTTGGTGGGTCTGGGCTGGGGATTCGAACCCACCACCTTAGGTGTACGTGGCTGGCGCCTTAGCCGGTTGAGCTATAGGCGCCGAGCCAGCTGGCGCAGTGTCTTTACAGAGAGGCTAGTCTCATTGTCTGCACAGTGGCTTACGCACAGCATCACTTTTGTCTCAACTCTTTAATTTGATTTTGTGAGTCTGTGTTTACCCTTATGGCTACTCTTCTAAAGTGGAAGTCCACTGCAAGTCCAGGTGGGCCTGCAGTGAAGAGAAAGGTGATGAAAACGAAAATGTCCCTCAGCTGTCAGAATAATGGAACATGTGAAAAGCAGAGCTCCAGTGAAAGCATCAGTAATTACTAAGCATAGTGGATTGATTATTAGAGTAGAAAGGTTACTATTGATTTTGTTAGAAAAGCAAAGTGTAATGCACTTTTTTTTTCTTGTTCCAATAAAACTTTATAAAAACCAACTGGGGGCCTGCAGGGGCTGTAGTTTGCCCACCCTGTGTTGGGGAGAGGAGGGAAATGTGATAAATCTTGTACTGGTTTCTTTCTTTCTTTTTTTTTTTTTAATTAAATCATAAACACATAGATCATGTATACAGTAATGCATCTATGGGGTACAATGTGCTGATTTCATATAGAATTAGGAACTCTTACGTCACACTGGTTAATATATACCTCATCTCATTTACTTAATTATTGTGTTAAGACATTTATACTCTATCCTAATAGATCTGACATGTACCCTTGCACTATGCACCATAGGTGCAATCCAACCATTCACCCTCCCTCAATCTGACTTCCCCCTCCCCTCTCAGCCTTCCCTCCTCCCTCTTTCATCTTGGGCCATAGTTGTGATCTGTTCTTCGTATGAAAGTGTGAGTGATTGTAAATTGGTTTCATAATAGTACTGAGTACATTGGATATTTTTCTTCCATTCTTGAGATACTTGAGTAGGATATTCCAGCTCCACTGATGTAAACGTAAAAGACTTTTTAAAGGCTGCATAATATTCCGCGGTATACCTATACCACAATTTATTAATCCATTCATGGGTCGATGGGTACTTGGGCTTCTTCCATGACTTGGCTATTATGAATTGAGCTGCAATGAACAATCTGGTGCAAATATGTTTGTTATAAAGTGATTTTTGGTCTTTTGGATATACACCTAGTAGAGGAATTGCAAGATCAAATGGCAGGTCTACTTTTAGATCCCTGAGTGTTCTCCATACTTCTTTTCCAAAGGGATGTATTAGCTTGCATTCCCACCAGCAGTGCAGAAGTGTTCCCTTTTCTCCACATCCACACCAACATCTGTAGTTGTGGGATTTTGTTATGAGAGCCACTCTTACAGGAGTTAGATGATATCTCAAAGTGGTTTTGATTTGCATTTCTCTGATGATTAAAGATGATGAGCATTTTTTCATGTGTCTGTAGGCCATGCACCTATCTTCTTCAGAGAAGCTTCTGTTCAAGTCCCATGCCCACAATGAAATGGGATTACTTGTTCTTTTCTTATTAATAAGTTTGAGTTCTCTGTAGATTCTGGTTATCAAACCTTTGTCAGAAGCATAACCTACAAAAATCCTCTCCCATTCTGAGGGCTGTCTCCTTGCTTTACTTTGTTCTTGGCTGTGCAGAAGTTTTTAGTTTGAGCAGATCCCAGTAATGTATTTTTGGTGTTGCTTTAATTGCCCGGGGTGTCCTCCTCATAAAGTACTCTCCCAGGCCAATTTCTTCAAGTGTAATGTTCTTATTAGCCTAGAGTTGATGCTACATTAGGTGTTAACATTTAATATTCTTTTTTGAAATTTCTCCTATCTAAACTTATTGTATGAGTTTGTTTTTATGTTCTGTTTGTTTGAATTAAAACACACTCTCTCTCCCCCTCTCCCTGCCTTTCTCCTCTGCCCTCTCTCTCTCTTTTCTCTTCCCCACTCTCTCCTTATCTCTCTCCCCTCTTTTCTCTCCTCTTTTCTCTTATCTCTCCTCCTTGGTGCTACTCTGCAGCCTCCCTCCCCCACCAATGAAGACCTTTGTACAAGCAAAAAAAAAAAAAAGAGAGAGAACACAATAGTTTCTATAACTTATTACAGTACAGGGGTATTATTATTATGCTGTATTAGTACCACATACAAGCCATTATAGTATTATTATTATCATATATGTGCTGGTCATCAGGGATCTGAGTTACTTACAAATATGACCTAAAGACTTTCTCAGGACTGCCTGTACTTACTTTTATTTAATTCATTTATTTTCTGTTTTTGTTATAAATCATTGGCTTTTAGGATATTCACAGAGTTTGGCATCTATCACAAGTCAGTTATAGAACATTTTCATCACCCCCAAAAGAAGCCTCATGCTCATGCTATAGGTTTTCACTCCCTAAACCCACTGTCCCCTCACCCTAGGCAGTCACTACTTTTTGTCTCTGTGGCTTCACCTATTTTGGACATTTCATATAAAAGGAGTTATGTGCCGGGCACAGTGGCTTATGCCTGTAATTCTAGCACTTGGGAGGCTGAAGCAGGTGGATTGCTTGAGCTCACAAGTTTGAGACCAACCTGAGCCAGAGTGAGACCTTATCTCAAAAAAAATAGCCGGGCGTTGTGGCAGGCGCCTGTAGTCCCAGCTACTTGGGAGGCTGAGGCAAAAGAATCACTTGAGCCTAAGAATTTGAGATTGCTGTGAGCTGTGACTCCATAGCACTCTACCAAGGGCGACAAAGTGAGACCCTGTCTCAAAAGAAAAAAGGAGTCATGTCACATGAGCCCTTTTGACTAGCTTCGTCCTCTGAATGTGCTTTCTAGGGGCTAGTTTCCTGGGATTGCTGTAACAGATGACCACACACAGGTGGCTTAAAACAACAGAAATTTATTATCTTGTAGTTCCTGAGGCGACAAGACCAAAATATTACTGTCAGGAGTGCCATCTTCCCTCAGAAAGCTCCTGGGAAAATAACCAATTAAATGCCTCTTTCCAAGCTCTTGGTAGTGGCCGGTAATCCTTGGCATTCACTTCAATCTCTGCCTCTGTCTTCACACAGCATTAATTTTTTTTTCTACTCCAGTAATTCTTCCTCTAGTAATATCTTTAGGATTCAAGGAAACCATAGACTCTATATTCTCAGCGTTCATGTTTGGAAATTGTTATTTATTACCTTTATATATATATATATATATATATATATGAATGACAGTTCTGTTGCCCAGGCTAGAGTACTGTGGCATCCTAGCTCACAGTAACCTCAAACTCCTGGGTTTAAGTGATCCTCCTGCCTCAGACTGCCAAGTAGCTGGGACTACAGGTACTTGTTTTTAATAGAGATGGGGTCTTGCTCTCGCTCAGGCTGTTCTTGAAGTCCTGAGCTCAAGTGATCCTCCCACCTCAGCCTCCCAGAGTGAGCCACCATGCCCAGCCACCTTTATACTTAAATGAAAGTTTGTCTGGGTATGAATTTCTTAATATCCTTATGCATAAATATTTGCCTATTTGTGAGAATATCTGTATGTTAAATTTCTATACATGGGAATCCTAGGTCAAAAGATATATGCATTTTTAATTTTGATAAATATTTCTGAAGTATACCAATTAGTACTAACTGATAACAATATCTAACACTGCCTACTTATATACACTCTACTTAATAAAGTGTTACCACAATTTTTTCCTTCACTCTCTGTCAGTCTGACAGGTGTAAAACAGTATTTAATTTTAGTTTTAATTTGCAGCTCTCATATCTGAGATTGAGCTATCTTTTTGGATATTGAAGAGCCCTTTGGCCTGTCCACTGTGGCTGTCAGTATACTAACTACACCCATTTCTCTTTTGGGTTGTTGGCCCTTCTTTACATTAAGAAAATTATCCTTGTTTTCATTTAAGATAACAATGTTTTTCCCTGGTTGTGTGTTTATGATACTTATTACTGAGTAGAAAATTTAAATTTTATGTTGTCTGGCTCAGCTCCTGTGGCTCAAGCAGCTAAGGTGCCAACCACATACACCTGAGCTTGGTGGGTTCAAATCCAGCCCAGGCCCGCCAAACAACAATGACGGCTACAACCAAAAAATAGCCAGGCATTGTAGCAGGCTCCTGTAGTCCCAGCTACTTGGGAGGCGGAGGCAAGAGAATCGCTTGAGCCCAGGAGTTGGAGGTTGCAATGAGCTGTGATGCCACAGCACTCTACCCAGGGCAACAGCTTGAGGCTCTGTCTCAAAAATAAATAAATTTGGCTCGGCGCCTATAGCTCAACCGGCTAAGGCGCCAGCCACGTACACCTAAGGTGGCGGGTTCGAATCCTCAGCCCAGACCCGCCAAACAACAATGACGGCTGCAACCAAAAAACAGCCAGGCGCCTGTGGTCCCAGCTACTTGGGAGGCGGAGGCAGGAGACTCGCTTGAGCCCAGGAGTTGGAGGTTGCTGTGAGCTGTAATGCCACGGCACTCTGCCCAGGGGGACAGCTTGAGGCTCTGTCTCAAAAAAAAAAAAAAAAAAATTAAAATAAAATAAATAAATAAATAAATAAATTTTATGTTGTTTGTTTTTATTACTTTTAAAAATATTTAGTGTTACTATTGTCACTAAGCTGGGCTTGAACTCCTGGGTTCAAGCAATCTCCCTCCCTTAGTGTCCTAAGCACCTGGGAGTACAGGCACGTGTCCAGGTTGTTTTCTATTGCTATTGTCTGCTTGAGGGTAGAAGGGACATGAGCCTCCTGCAGTCCCAGTAGGGAAGATCTACGCAACTGACCCATCACACCAGAAGCTGTGCGGGTGCCCTTCAGAGGTGCAGGGGATACTTCTGTGCTTGCTTTCTGGCTCTCTGTTCCAGGTGTCCTTTGTTCTGCAGGAGTACCTGAGCTTGGTTGATTCCAAGGACACCTGGATAGAGGATGGGCAGGGGCTCTCTACAGTGAGCAACAGTCACCTGAACCTGGCCTGGTCAGCCCAGAAGAGCTCAGCCTACAGTGAGTGGCGGGGAGGGCCGGGCATAGCCACCTGTGGTTTGGGGACTTGAGGCTGTTGCTTGCTAGATCTTAGGGTACTGGCCATCCCTGTTGGGGAGCTGTTGCTGTGCTGAGCCCTGCCTGCTTATCATAGGCCGCAGGGTCTCCCTGGGGAGCTGCTGCTGCTCTCCAATCAGCCAGTCCAGCTTGGGGACCTCCTATACCTCCTATCAGGATCTGGCCAAGCACATCGTGGACACGTCTATGGCTGATGTGAGTGGCTGCTCCTACCCCTCCCTGCCTTACTTTCCCCAGAGCTCTGCTGGTAGGGAGGGACAGCAAGGAGGGAAGGGACCAGGCAGGCCGGGCCTGCAGCAGCTCTCTGCCTGGAGGAGAGACCAATAAATTTGGGCCACACTGCCTATCTGAGGGCCTAGTATGTGCTGTGCCCACTGATTTGGGTGTGGCTACTGTGTCCCCAGGTAATGGCTGCTTGTTCAGATAATCTGCACAACCTCTTCAGCGGCCAGGCAGCTGCTGGCTGGAAGTAAGTCCCTTTGTACCATGTCTCAGTCCTGACTCTGTCGTCCTTCACGGCTTCTCCTTTCCCTCTCTGCCCTGCGTTCCTCGAGCCTAACCCCAAGCTCTCCCTTTGTGAACCCACTTTTTACCTCCTCTTCTTTCCTACCCTTGGTGTTTCCCCCCAGCCATCAGGGCGAGGAGCAGGCGGTACAACTTTACTTCAAAGTGTTTTCTTCTACTCGGCATGGTTTCCTGGGGGCAGGCGTGGTGTCCCAACCACTGTCTCATGTGTGGGCAGCTGTGAGTGACCCTACGCTGTGGCCCTTGTATCACAAGCCCATCCAGACAGTACGGCTATATCAGCGAGTGACCAACAACATCAACCTGGGTGAGCCCAGAGATGGAAAGCTTCTGTGGGGCCTGATTTCCTCTGTGTCCCAATAGGCTCTGTCAGGGGACAGAGGAGAGGGTTGGAAGCTGCCCTCTTGGGAGGATGGGTACCCAGGCCCCCTCCAGATTGCTCAGCCTAGGCCTACCTCGGGATCAGGCAGTGGATGCTGGGGAGATAGGGGGCTCCCAGGCCAGGAAGGGTACAGGGGTGACCAACCTTTTTGGTTTTTTTCTGCTACACATTAGAAGAGTTGTCTTCCACACATTAAACACACAAACACTAATGAAAGCTGATTGGCAAAAAAATGTGTCCATGCATAATTTTCACAATTTCTAACACCACAGATAAGCAAAACAGGCCTCGAATAGTCCATATATGACCTTCAGGGCACAGGTTGGACACTCCTGAAGGACCAGGTCTGTCCATGGCCTCCTGACTTCCCCTCGTCCCTGTGCCCCCAGTGTACCTGCTGTGCAATACCACTCTCTGTGCGCTGAAGCAGCCCCGGGACTTCTGCTGTGTCTGTGTGGAAGCCAAAGAGGTACCTGCCTAGGGTGGTAAAGATGTCGTGGGGAAACCTGGGCTGCAGTGTTGTGAGAAACAGTCTCTGTGGCTGTCAGGTCCTCTGGAGGACAGAGAGCAAACTGGGATTGGCCCAGGGTAGGGGTGGCTGAAGGCCTGCTCAGGCTGCCTTCTGCCGCGTGTGCACATCTGAGCCTGCCCCCATTATTCCACCCACACTGCTCGTTTCTCTCCCCCCCACAGGGGCCCTTATCTATTATGGCTGCCCAGTCTGTGTATGACACATCCATGCCAAGACCCAGCCAGAAAGTGGTCCGAGGAGAGATCCTGCCCAGTGCCTGGATCTTGCAGCCTGTCACCATGGAGGGGAAGGAAAGCACCAGAGTCATCTACTTGGCCCAGGTGATACACCCCTTGCTGCTGGTCCCACAGCCCCTGGGATTGTTCTGTCCAGCTACTAGCAGCCTTCAGTGCCCAGGTCAAAGCTGGACACTCAGGGGCTTCATGGGCTGGCAGTAAGGGGTCAGTGAGGAAAGAATGAGAGCTTGTCAACTTTGCAGAAGCTATTATTGCCAGAGACCTAGCAACCTGCATCCTGTGGCTGACTCCAGGGTCTTAAGGAGATACAAGGCTAAAGTAGCAGCCTCAGCAGAGCAGAATGATGACCCATCCCTGCTGCCTTGCCTTGAACTTCGTCACTGGGAGGTGAAAGCCAATGCTTAGATCTGAACAGTGGAGCTCAGGGGCCTGTGAACCCCAGGGCAGTAGAGCCTTAGGTGCTTCCCCAATCGCCACAGATGAGGGTGGCTATGTGGGGGTAGAGTGTGCCCTGGCGCATGCTCTCAGGTCTGTTTGCACCTATAACCCCTCCCTCTCTCCTTTCAGGTAGAACTTGGTGCTCCAGGCTTTCCACCTCAGCTCCTAAGCTCCTTTATCAAACAGCAGCCACTGGTGATTGCCAGACTAGCTTCCTTCCTTGGCAGTTAGCATCTCACCGTCAAGATGACGCTACTGAGACACAGGCCCAAGATGCTCCAGAGACACTGTGGCAGCTCTGTGTCACCTTCTGTACCCTGATGCAAGAACAGCCAAGGCTGTGGCCAATTGGGCAGACAGCACTGGCCCAGGGTTGCCACAGTCCTAGGTTACAGCTGGTACCTGCAAAGCGAGCAGCCTGAGCTCCTGGCCCTGGCTGTCCAGAGTGCATGAAGCTCAGCTCACTTTTTGGATTTCTCATCTTTATTTCCTGTCTTTGGAACTCTATGGTAGATAAGCCACTCAAGAACCAAGACTGCACACAGCCAGCAGAGCTGGGCACCTCCTCAGGCTGGTAGGGAGGCAAGCAGTCCTTGGCCAAGACTGCTCTGAACCTGCCTCCAGCACCCAGCTCCACTGTGTGATGGAGTATTAGAAAATACCAAACAGAAAAAGAGTTTAAAAAAACAGCTGCACAAACCAGAACACTGATTCAGAATCTTTTCTCCCTTTTGAATTTTTGCAAAATGCTTCATTATTCAGAATTTTTGCTTTTTCTCTCCCTTTTCGTTGCCTTTCCGAGAGGACATATGAGTCTTTGCATCAGAGTCAAGAGTGTTGAGTGATGCTCTTGTATGGAGCTGTTGTTCTAGGGCAACAGCTAGTAAAATGGGAGAGCATCGTGGAACCAGATGGGTCAGGGCAGGGGACTTAGTTCTCTGAGCACTGGTCAGGGAGGGTGGCAGCCAGATGCTGGTTGATGACAATGCAGAAGTTATTTTAAAGACATTAGAAACTGTCCTTTGAAGATGAGAGAGAACATGAGCTCCTGGAGGAAGTAAGGGACTTGTTAGGAGGAAGCATGGTTCCGTACCTTGCCTCATCTCATTCTGAGGTGGTGTCTCAAGCATTCCATGATGATGATCTGGTCCCACCTATTGTAGGATGGGATGGAAAATGGATTCAGTTTTCTTGTACCTTAGCCTGGCTGAATGTGAGCTCTGAGTATTTGGTATGTTTACCTGGTCATGGTAGGGGTGGAAAAGATTCCCAGCTTTAGTTCTGGTGCCCAAAATCTTTGGTGGAAACGTATGGAGATTAAGATAGGGTAAAAGGGTAAATTTCTGTATAGTGTAGCAGAGATTTATTTTTCTAAAACTGTGTGCAGGTATTTTTTTCTCTTACCTCAGATTAAGATATTTATGTATTCATCAGAAGATTTTTAAATTGCTTTTAAAATTTTTCTGGTTAATTTTTTTGGTGACATTTGATATATTTAACAACCTATTTATGTACTCCCACCGCTTTTCATATAAACCTCTAAGACTACTGACCAAAAAGGTCAGGATATTTGTAAATTATAAGTCCTGTGTGTACTTTCACCTGAAGTAACGACTATCCTAGAGTAACCTTAATGTGTTACTTGAGCTCAGCAGGATTTAGGGTGGAGATCATGCAGGCACTACCCACTCAAGGCCCAGTTTTAAGCTATTCAGTTTACAAGTGTGCACTGAGTGCTTCCTGCAAGCTCGGCACTGCCTTGCAAGGTACATACAACCAGATTAGATGCCCAGCTATAGCCCAAGTGAGACAAGGAGGGAGGATTCCAAAACGGTCACCCATGACCACAGTGCTCTGGGGTTCTGAGGCAGAGCCAGCTACAGGAATCTTAATGGGTAGATAACCAAGAGGTGAGTATATCCCCTTTACTAGAGAAGCCACACATCAGATCTGACTAAGTCAGAGTAGTAACTGACCTTGTAGCAAAATGTTAAAGTGAGGTCAGCTTTTGGTTTAGATGGGTGGTTCTCAAACTTTAGCATACATCATAATCACCCAAAGGCCGTGTTAATACTGGAGGCTGGGCCTTACCTCAAGTTGCTGATTCAGTAGGCCTGGAGAGGGGCCCGGGTATCTGTATTTCTAAGTCCCAGGTGACCCAGAGGTTGCTAGTCTGTGAACCACACTGTAAAAGCTGCTGGTTTAGACAATAGAGAGCAGACACATAGAAAGGAATCTGATTAGTTCTCTGGTTCATTAGCTGCTTGTCTCCATAATCCTTAGCATAGCCTTTAGGGTACACACAGGCTAGCAGGAGTTTCTTTCATTAGGACCATGTTAAAATTCCATTAAGATTCCCAAGAACTTGGTTTTAGCTCAGTGGGTCTTAAGCTAGACCTGGCTTATAGCCCCAATAATTCAATCCCCAAATCTTTGAGTACTTTAGGCTTTTCTCTCCTGCTGGTCCCATGTCACACCTCAGCTGGGTCCTCTGGAACAAATCAAGAAGTAGCCAAAAGCCTCAGCTTCCAGGGGCATGGGGTGTGGTTCTGTCTCTGGGCACAGAAAGAGAAAACATTTCTTAAAACTTTTTTTATGGTTCCCAGGCATTCAAAACAAATTGGATTTAAAGGAATTAGGGGAAAAGGTTTGGATGCACAAACTTGTCAGAGGAATGACTGGGATGAGCAGAGGGGAAAGGTAAGGTGTAATATATTTAGTATAATCACAGGATGGTAACTGAGAAACACTCCCAGCTTTCTGGATTGCTGGGATTAACTTCTTTGTTTTACTATGGCCACACAAGTCGATCCCTCTAGGGAATTTTATTACCACTTAGTCAAAATCGGTTGTTCATTTAGAGATGTGGTCTTGACAATTATAATCAGGAATAGAATACAGACCAATTCTGAGCCAAAACAAACACTCCCACCCTAACAAAACCAGCATAACAAGAGCTGCCCTACCACATGGTTCAGTAGATGTATCTTGTGAATGGAACCACAAATTCTCCTACACCTTTCTCCCACATATGAAAAAATTTGCCCAGGCAGTGTTTTTCAAATTTTTTATCTCACGGCATGCTTGAACCTATAGTTAAAACTTCTGTGGCACGCTTAAATTATGTTGATCAAAAAAGTAAAAAAAAAATATGTATACTTATTGTGCTTTGAACTTTTTCTGAAAATAACTTAAAGATTTTATTTTCATGGCACATGGATTGAAAATCACTGTGCCTGGGAAAAAATGGCAGTAAATTAATAGCAGAGACAGGCTCTGTAGCATAGAGCCTCCAGGCATTAGTGAGAGGCCCAGCAGCTCACTTTTGTAGTACACAGAGCCAGGCCACTCTTAAAACACCCACCCTAAGGCCCTCCTGTAAGTCTGCAGCCTTTTTAAAGGGAAAAGACAGGTGAAAATAACTAAACATCAAGCCCTTATTAAAGGAAACAGTTTATTTTCAATGCTCTAATATTCTGCCTTGTTCTTGGTCCTTGGACAGAATTAGAGGCCTAAAGAGTTTCTACCTGCACAGCAGCTGAGGGTACAGGGGTAAAGCCAGGTTTTAGTTGGGTGAGTCCTACCTTATCTGTTGTGCATTTTTAAGGAGATGGCAGTTCAGCTCCTGGTGGTTAAAAAATGCAACTCCCAAGCTTCGTGCTTTAACTTTCCTCACGTGTTAAGCAGAAGTCATATACCTCTGTCATGATTTCCCAGACCACAGTCTTAAGAGCTGCTGGGACAGCAGCAAGTGAGGCTCGACTCCTTTGTCCACAAGCCCACTCATTTAGTATCTGAGTGATGAACGCCAACTCTTCTCCAGAACTGGAGTCTCTAGGCTTTTCCACCATAATCCTGAATCAGGTCAGGTGAATGCTCCTTCCTTGAGGATTTGGGCAGGAAGCCTGCAGTCAGTGGGACGCCAAGCAGCCCCACGTTTGCTTCACCTCTGAGCAGGAGTTCTGGTTCTAGACCCTGCTACTCTCACACCAGTGACGGCCAGCACTGGGCACCAGGGGTGGCGCTAGGCTCTCGGGCCTCCTGCTGAGGCCCAGGCAGGGTTCCAGAGCTCTGGTGAGACACTCAAGGCAGGGCCCCTTTCCAGTCCTAGCTCTGGGCCAGCACCGCCCCCCGGTTTGGCTGCACCAGTTCACAAACTCGCAACTGGGGTTCTGGCAGGTGGGGCTCTGCCAAAAACAGGTTAAATAGGGTTGCTAATTCTTCAGAGAAGTCCTGGAATTAAGTAGAAAAATGACAGAATAAACACTAAAAACAGGATCTACAGAATTACAGACATAATTCTGGATGGTTCATCCTTTTTACTACAGATCAATCCCAGTATCAAGCCCTAGCTAATCAGTGGGTACACAGTAACCTGGCTGTTATTTTCCTCCAACTGCTCTCTACAATGAAAGGGCTATGAAATGCCATTAGTACTTTGGGAGGCTGAACTCTAATGAGAATTCACTATCTACTCAGCACATCTATTTCATCTTGAAATGATTAGTCTCATTTTATACACAGATGAGAAAACAATGCTTAATTTTTTGAGTGATTTGGGCAAAGTAATTGAGTACTAGCTGAAATCAAAATCCAGGTTATTCTGATTTTAAAAACCCACACACTGTGCCATGTTGCCTTCCCTCCCTCTTCCCCGTCTCTACTAACACAGAATACTTGACAAAAATTCCCCTAATTGGGCCCATTACTTGCCCCCATACAAACAGGATATACAATGCCCGCTCCCATGTAACACAAAGATAAGGACTCCTTACCCCTGGCCACTGGGCCTCATGGAGGCTGCCCAGGCAGGCCTCGATTTCCGTCTGTCCCATCAGACCCTTCTCGACCAGCTCCCGGAGCAGGAACAGCAATAGATCCCACTGCAGGACACAGAGGAGGACCCAACAGTAACCCTGACTGACCTGGACTGAGAGAACTGGAGGCAATTTTAGCATGAACAGGAAAAGGGCAATAAAGGGTAGTGGATAAGAATAGACTGCAGACAGCTCTGAAGGCCTCCTGTCCCCTGTTTCCGACTCACCTCTCTCGGCCGTGTGTCTGCCAGAAGCCCCACATTTCTTGGGCTCAGCAGCAGCTGGAGTGGAACCGGCCCCTGGAAGTCATCCTTCCACAGGGCGAGCAGCATGTGCAGAAGCCTCCGTGTCTGCCCCCTCTCCAGCCTTTGGTGTGCTGGGGGCCCTAAGATAGGAATTTGGTCTGCAACTATGGAAAGAGAGGAAAGCCAGCTCTAATGATAGCAGGTCCAGGCTCTGTCTTCCTAATCTTGCTTGTACCCAACCCTGAGATTTGGGGGATCTGGCAGGAGAGTGATTTGATTGAAAAGAACCATACCAAGGAGGGATGCTAACTCCACAGAGCATTTTGCCAGATGCTGCTCAGCAGGTGGGCACAGAAACTGTGGGGGGGGGGGAGAGATTCTTAGACATCAGTGCCACCTTACCACTTTAAGGATGGCCCTCAGTCAGTGTGACTCTGGTTATTAAGTCTTAGATAAGGACACAAAGAAAAGCATCTTTCGTGTGGCAGATGCCACATCTCACCTGGCGGCACCGCAACGTCTGACCCAATTGGCCTAAGAGCTGCTCCAGGTGCTCTGGGGTCACTCCCTCCTCAGGGTCCCGAGGCCCCACAGCCAGGGAGAGCACGTCCTGTAGAGAGCAGGGTGAGACTTCACACCAGCGTTGGGACTAGGATACCACAGATAATTTAGCTTGGGGGTGGGGATCAACCAGTGGAGAAAGGCAGAAGGAAAATAGGGCCCTGGGGAGTGATGTAACTGAGCCAAGAGGCCCCTAGACCTGGGACCTGGGTGGGACAACACAGCCAGAAGCAACCATGTGGACAAGAGAGGGAACAGATGGGGCAGGTGGGCTGAGGGATGGTAGGCTAGGGAACTAGAAAGACGCTACTTAACTTGAGATAAAACTGTCTACCAGAATCTCGCATCTTATTCTTAACGCATTTAGGTTAAGATACAGTCTCAACACTTTCATGCTTTTCTGGTCATCATCTATAAAGAGTTGAGGTTTCAATACAGAAACCCCCTACCCACCAAAAACCTAAGGCCCTAAGCCTTCCCTCCCTCCTATAACTCCCATTTTCATTCACTGCTTCTGGGTCTATACCAAATCTTTATTTCTCTCTCAGAGTCAGGCAATAAATATTTTAGGCTTTGTGGCCCATAAAGTCTCTGTTCCAACTACTCCCCAGCCTCCATAACATAAAAGCTGCCACTGATGACTCATTAAAAAATGGACATGGCTGGGTTCCAACACAACTGTTTACAAAAACAAGTAGAGGCTGGCTGTGGTGGTTCATGCCTGTAATCCTAGCACTCTGGGAGGCTGAGGCAGGAGGATTGCTTAAGCTGGGGAGTTTGAGACCAGCCTGAGCAAGAGCCAGATTCTGTTCTAAAAGTAGCCAGGTGTGGTGGCGGGTGCCTGTAGTCTCAGCTACTTGGGAGGCTGAGGCAAGAGAATCACTTGAGCGCAACCAAGAGTTTGAGGTTGCTGTGAGCTATGATGCCATGGCATTCTACTAAGGGCAACAAAGTGAGACTCTGTGTCTTAAAAAAAAAAAAACAACAACAGACAAGTAGTGGGCCTGATCTGGTCCATGGGCTGTTTGCTGTTTTATAGACAGTCTGAATTTTTAAAAATCAAGTTTATTCACAGCCTGTGACTAAACAAGCATCTCCTTCCACATAGAACATTATTGAAATCATACCCAAAATACTGGGTGACGGTCCTTTAGAGACTCTTCTACTACACTTTAACCGCACTCCCATCAGCGTCTGTGTTATAAGCATTTAGTCACATCTACCCTTTTCCCCTTTTGAGTGATTCAAATGCCAAAAATCACAAGGTAACAATTAGGAAAGCCATTCAGTTCAGCTTGGCCCTACCCATCTCACTGAGTAACTAACAAAACAGGAACTAGCAGGACAACACAGAAAAGGTCTACACAAAACACTGGAGCTGAGGTGAGAAAGGCAAGAAACCAGGAACAGAGCAGGGAGTGGGAGCAGGGAAGCCGGAGGGAGTAGGGTAGCTGTGTACTTTGATCTCGGAGATGAGGTGGGAGGGGAGGGGAGCGTGGTGCTCACAGGCGCGGGAGCAGCCCCTCCGCTCCCCCCAGGCAGCAGGCTCAGGACCCTGGGTTCGGAGTGTGCGACTCACTGCTGCCTTCACCTCCCTCCTAATCAGCGCTGCAGGGCAGAGGAAGAACAGAAAAGGGGTCACCTGAGTGCCCTGCACAGGCTCACCATACCACCCACACCCATCACTGTTCCCTGCTAGCTGAGTCCCCTCTTCCCCAATCACCTCCAACTCCCTGCTAGTGTAATTTTTAAAAACTTGGATTCCAACACAACTGTTTACAAAAACGAGTAGTGGAGGCCTCTATGGGAAGAGAGGCCCTTTCCCAGACCTCACCTGTGATGTTAGCTGACAACCAAGCACAGGCTTTCTCCGTGGCAAGCCCCACGGCAATGTTCTCTGCACTGCTTAGAACCTGAGAACCAGAAGAACTGCAGAGTTGGGCCAGGGGAGTGCTGGGTACAATAATGGAAGCCAGAACAGGACTGACCCACCCCCTGCACCCTGCACAGCAGCCTCACGCAGGCCACGCATGTGCTTCTCCCACCACAATCCCTGGCCTGCCAGCTGCAGGCCTCCTTTCTACGTACAGCTGCTGGCGTCTCCTCTGGAAGTAGGGCACGCACAGCCCCAGGGCTCTTCCTTTGGCAGAACCTAAAGGGAGACAGGAGGGCAGTGATGTTAGATCTTCTAGCCTGGCTCAGGAAGTGAATGCCCTGAGCCTACCAAGCACCTGAGTGGGGAGGCTCTGCCTGGAGCAAGCACTGTCCCTCCTTTGCCCCACCCCGGGGCTGGAGAAACAAGAACCCCTATCACCCGCCCCATAGCATCAGACATGCTCCCAATTCATCATTTGTACTTTGTGCTACAGAAGTCCTAAAGCCAAAGACGTGAGCCTATAGAGGAGGCAGATAAAAGAACAAAAAGAGGGGTGGGTGAGAGAAGAAGACAGGTAAAAGAGAAGACATATCAAAAGGGATATGAATGTGGAAGAGGAAAGAAAAGAAAAGAAAAGAGCTGAGGGGATCAGGGGAGGGGAGAGGGCACAAATAGACTGGTGTTCTTACTCCCGTCCCTGGGTCAATGCCTGGGTCCCATGGGGGCACAGCTGGGAACACAAGATCTCCAACAGCTGAGCTGGATCACCCCCATCCTGTCCCTGCGTCACCAGCTGCTCCTGGAGAAGTAACTCTGCCTGGCGCACCAGATCTGCCACCAGTGTGGCCCTGCAGCAGGGACAGCAAGGTTTGGGGGTATTTGGAAGGGTTGAATCGGAAAGGGGCTGCAAATTCAAGGAAACCTGGTCAGAATTTCCTTCAAAGGGTGTTGGCAATTTCAGCCCCCACACCTCCAACTCCCACCATCCCACTGACTTTCCACAGTTTGGCAAATGAGGAAAATGAGGAAGAAATAGCAAACAAATTAGACCAGGCCCGTCAACCACTCTTACTTGATATGTTTGACACAGTTCGATCCAATCCTCTCTGCCACAAACTCCACAGTCCTGCGCAGGGAGGGTGGTTGGTTGTGGAAGAAGGCCTGGGCCAGCTGTGCCTATGTGGAGGAGAGACAGGCAGTGCAGGCTTCCTTCCGCCTCCCCAGGGGCCTGCCTCTGCACTGCCCTTGCCTGCCTCTGCGCTGCCCTCACCTGCAGTCCCTGGGGAGGCTGGGGAGGCTGGGCTCCCAGGCCGGTGGTGGTTGTAGGGGTGATTTTCCTCACGAAGCCCCCGCTCCGGCCACTGCTGCCAGATACCCACGAAGCAAGCAGTTTCCGGAGCTCTCCTGCAGCAGGGAAGTCCAAGTTCTTAGTCTGAGAACCTCTCACCTTACCAAGCATCCTGGACTGAAAGAATTTGTGGCACCCAGGGAATGCCCAAGAACCTAATGCTATGAGGGAGTCAGACCAAAGGGGTGTCTCTGGGTACTCACGAAGGGGCAGGGCAGACTGGGGTGCTCACCGATGTAGGGACAGCAGGTGTAGAGCAGCTGCTGGTCCACCACAGGCACACTGTCCTGGGGGAGAAGAGGCGGCATCGGGAAGGCAGGCAGGCTTCTGTCCCTCCCAGTGTACCCAGAAACGGGAAAGTCAGGCAGGACAATTCTGTGACATTAAGTCTCTATCCTGGCTTGTCTCCTGCTTGGCCTTCCCCAACAGCCCACTCCCTTTATTTCTGGGGTCCCCATGGCTCTGGCTAGACCTGAATACTCACCAAGCCATGCTCTGAGGCTACGGTGTCTGCTTCAAAGGCATCCAGCTGATGCTCTTCCAGAAAGAACAGGTCCTCAGGGACTACGGGAATCTGGCAAGAGATAGCACAGTCACCAGTTCCAGTCAACTCTAGAGACTCATCACACCTCCCACCACAGGGGGCCAGGCTTTGGGCACCAGGTTCCAAAGCAACCTTCTCTGAGATTACAGTAATTCCCACACTTCTTCGGAGCCTTCACCTTCTGACCTGTCTCATTTAGATTCAGACATTTTCCCCACCTCCAGCCATTGAAATCCCACTCCCTCCATCTGGCCCTCACTCGGCCCACCTGGAAAAGCCAGCCCAGGACAGCAAGGAGCAGCAGCTTATTCAGGAAACACATCTCCCCTTCATTCTCCTGCGATAAGACCAAGCGCCTGAACAGTAAATGGAGGGTGTGAATGGATGGGGCAAGTGAAAGCTCTCACTGGCAAGGTCATTCTCAAGAACAGACCTCAGAGGGACTGCTGGCATGTAGGCAGCCAGGACCTCTTATTTCCCCTCCCAAGTCTGTATTCCCTGTTGGCTGGGCCACCTCAGGAATTAAAAAGGAACAATGAAAGAACAAATAACTGCCCGCTGTCCGTCTTTGAGCAGCAAATCCTGCCTTTACTGAGGCTCAGAGGAAATGGGCTCTGTTAGCAAGCATGCGGCACAGGCTGCTCAGCCTTCTTCATGGACGGCAGGCTTCAGCAATGCTCTCTCTCATTTTCTCTCAAGCCTTAGCCCTTTTTTTTTTCTTTCTGAGACAAGAGTCTCACTCTGTTGCCCGGGTAGAGTGCCATGGTGTTATCATAGCTCACAGCAACCTCAAATTCTGAGGGTCAAGTGATCCTCCTGCCTAAGCCTCCCAAGTAGCTGGGACTACAGGCATCTGCCACCACACCAGACTAGTCTGTCTATTTTTAGCAGAGATAGGGTCTCATGCTCCTGAGTTCAGGCAATCCTCCTGCCTCAGCCTCTGAGAGTGCTAGGATCACAGGTGTGAGCCGCTCTGCCCGGCTTGCCTCAGCCTCTCTTTACTCACCGATGTAGGTGCAGCAGCAGAGTAAAGATGCTCCGGTAATAGTCCAGCAAGGGCACAACATGGTCAGCAAAGGAAAGGAACTCCACCACCCAGGGCACAGTGAGCACCGCTCGGCGGGCCCACAGCCCCTGCTGCAGCAGAGTGTGCACATCCAGGACTGGAGGGACCTGGGAAGGCCAGTGCTCAGTCAGTGGCAGGTCCCCAGGGGGGCTGGGTAAGGCCCTCTAACCTGCCTGGTTTCCAAACTAGCAGAGGAAACCAGACAACTTCAGTGCCTTGCTGGTCCTCCCAGCTCCCTCCCTACCAGAATCTCCCACCCATTCACCTGGCTCCTGAGGGCCAGAATGGAGTCCTGAAGCTCACCAGTCGGGGGTGGTTCAGGCCCCCGGTAAGGCAGGAAAGCCACAAAGCCCAGGAATTTAGCCAAAAGCCTCAGGCTAAGCAGCACCACAGCAAATTGCCTCCGTTCACCCTGAATGGAATCAAGGGAAATAAAAGGCCCTAAACATAAGGCTTCTAGAACAATTCCAAATCTGTTATATAAAGTTTTTCTTGAACACATCCCTTTCCTTCCTAATCACATCCCATAAACTCCCATCCCGTGTCCTAACCTGCCAGTCCACATCGGACTCCCCATCATCACTGGGCTCATGCTGAGGCAGGGCCAGGCTGTTGAGCTCCCGGATCTTCAAGCTCAGACTATCCATGAGATGCTGGTTAAACTGGAAGCTAGGAAGGAGGGGAATGAGCATGGGACGAGGTACATAAAAAACCAGAATTAAGACGAGGTACTCCAGACAAAGCGTCAGTGGGGTAGATGGGGCGGCCAAGGAGCAATGAAGTCAGCAATGTGGGAGAGGAATGAGACATGAAATGGAGTCAAAGTGTGAACCAGAGATTACCTGGCTCCTCTCCTACTCCAGGCCAAGGAGGCTGGGGAGTTCCTTATGCCTTTGGGAAGCCAAACCTCTCCTAGCCTTTGCCCCATTCCCTGCAAGACACAGGGGACTTTTACCTGCTGGCACTAAGGATGAAGTCCTTAAAGAAGCCTTGACAGCCTGGGAAGGTGGGGGGCGGGCAGGGTCCCCCACTGCTCTGAGGGGCCACAAGCCGTTCCTGTAAGCGCCGCAACCGTCCCAGCTTGTCAGCTCCTAGCATGCTCAGCACATCTGGAGTTTCACCCAAGACAGGACCCCCAACACCATCAGGGTGCTGACACATCTGCGTGAGGGAGGAGAGAGGAACAAATCGAAAACCAGTAGGTAGGAGGCAAGGACTAAGCAAAACACGGAGAAAGTACTACATGCATTTATGAAATGCCAACTCTGGGTCAAGTGCTTTGGACGTGTTTTTTAAGGTCAGCTTTATGATCTTATTTTACAGGTAAAGAAACTGAAACTGCACAATTAAGCATTTGCCTAGGGTCCTGACCAGGGGTCCTCAAACTGTTTAAACGGGGGGCCAGTTCACTTTCCCTCAGACCGGGGGCCTGGACTGCGGGCCCCAGGACAAGTCGGCTGCTAAGCAGGACAGGCAGTGGTGGCAAAACACCCAGCAGGCCGGATAAATGTCCTAGGTGGGCCACATGTGGCCCACGGGCTGCAGTTTGAGGACCCCTGGTCCTGACAGTGAGGGTTTGAAATGAGGCCTGGGCACTAAGCATAAATCAAGGAAGAGATGGGCTGGGTGGAGGGCCTGGGGCACACCTGAGAGTACTCTGGTTTTTCCCTGACCATAAGAGGTTCAGTCACTACCCAAGGAGTAGATTTCTGTTCTACCTGCCGGGCTGTCAGCTCTGTCTCCAAGTGCTAATCATTATTTAGCTGCCTATAATACCTACTGTTCATTGTAGATTAACCTCCTACTGGGGCTATTACCTGAAGAAGTTGTTTTTGGAAAAGCCGAACAAAGTGGCTGTGGCTGCAGGCTGCGGAGAGTTGGCCCATCATGGCTCTGAGGGATAAAAGGCAGGAATAGAGTATGAAGGAAGGAAGAGGGAGAAAGATGTGAAGAGAAAAACCCATCCTTGGGCTTTTTTTTGGAGACAGAGCCTCCAACTGTCACCCTGGGTAGAATGCCATGGCATCACAGCTCACAGCAACCTCCAACTCCTAGGCTTAAACGATTCTCTTGCCTCAGCCTCCCAAGTAGCTGGGACTACAGGTGACCACCACAATGCCCATTTTTGGTCGTAGCTATTACTGTTGTTTGGCAGGCCCGGGCTGGATTTGAACCCACTAGCTCTGGTTGTATGTGGCTGCCACCTTAGCCACTTGAGCTATAGATGCTGAGCTCATCCTTGGACTTTTTGATCCTTTACCAAGGACTTGAGCAGACCCTGGTAAGGGATCTATTGTCACCGTGATCTCTCAAGACTAGAGATATATTTAACCAACAAGAATGCCATCCCTCAAATCTTCAGTCCACGTTGAGTGGCAGTGAATGTCACAATCAATGGAGAAGGTAGATGTCTGGCAACAGAGTGCATCCTATAAGGTTGTCATCTACCCATGCAAAGTTGTCAGACCCACCCAAATTGGATGATAAACAAAATAGAGGTTGGAGTGGTCTATCCAGTGACTAAGAGCTCTGCGCTTTTCTAAGCATTTACCATTACAGAACAAGTATGAGGCACTTCTGAGGGGAAGACAAATCTCCGTTGAACAGAGACAGAGCTGTCAATAACTAGTGGAAGAAAACCGCTCTGAGCTGGAAAGAGTGGGGGAAAAAGCCTTTCTTTAATCAGCTCCCCAGGCATTACTGAGCTGCTTGCTACCAGAAGCAAGAGAGATAAGGTGACCAGTATATGAGCACCCACCTGATTCTGCTGCCCAAGCCCTTCTCAAAGTCCCAGCCAGGCTCCTCATGGCGATCTTCCCATTCTCGAAGCACCTCATAAAACACATCCCTGACACACACAAGAATGCCTGATCAGTTGAGGCACAGCTGCCTCTAACTCATTCCCAGTAGAGCCTTCCCTTGCATGGAAGAGCAGAGGACAGGACAGCCCCGTTTCTCAATCTCGCCACAGTTCTCTGGATGATAATAATTCTATAGACCCAACATTACTTTTACAGTGCAGTTCATCTTGGCACACCTTGTCTGAGAACCCTGAGACTACAGTCATATACCTATGAGATGCCTGGCTAACCTCAAGGGTTCAAGTCCATGGGCAAATCAGAATGAAGCCATGTGGCCCTTGAAAGGGCCCGATGGTATGAACCCACCACCTATTGGTGCCAATCTCCTACTAGTTTTTATAAAACTAAATAGCTATCTATTTAAAAGAAAAGGTAACCTTATTCCTTCCCCCAAAGTTCCCTTTTTCTTATCACCTCTGTTTTTTAAAAGTATGAAAGGCTCGGTCACTGGAGAAGTTGGCACGATTGTCCGTCTCTGGCTGAAAGGAGACAGCTTGAGCAGAGGGTGGCATCGCCAGAGAGACCTAAAATATGGCAGGGACATTAGGAAATGGAGCCTGCAGGGTCATCCTTAGAAAACTTCACCTTCTTATTCTTGCTCAGAGTCAGTCCACATGACACTTAAGTATTGTGAGCAGAGTTTCCAATTATGAAGGATAGGAAGGGTCAGACCCAGGGTAGTAGACATCTACGCTGGGATCACTACCTTGGCAACACTGCCTTCATAGGCAGCTCGAAGGTGGCCTTGCAGAGCTGGTGAGAAGCACAGCAGCCGCTCATTCTCAGCAAGCAGCTTCAAGGTCCCTTTGTCTAGGTGGGAAAGGACCCTGCAGGGGCAAGAGCACATATGACTGAGACTTAGACATGAACTGCTAACAGGAAGCAAGTACGTGCACACCACACAGAGCATATCAAAAGCACGGAGCAGGAACATAAGCCTAGATATGTACAGTAAGGTCATGGGCCAAGGATCAAAACTGATGGAGGCCAAGGGGAAAGAAATGAGACTATAGAGATCAGGGCCAGGAGAGAAGGACAGAGACATTAGCTATAAATCCAAAGGTCAGCTAGGACACAAGGGTCCATTTGATTGTTTTAGGGGGAAAAGTCGCTGCTTCGACACAGAATTCAAGATTATAGGTAGGAAAGGTCCAGGGCCACTGCAACTGTGTTAAGCACAACATGCATCCAAGTAGCCAATGCAAATAAGGCCCAAATGCTTCACTCAGGGAAACTCACTGAAACTGACGTTCCAAAACCCGCACTGCAAAGAAGACGCAATCGTGGATGCTCTGGAACAGTGGGTTTTCCACAAAGTCTAGAAGGATAGTACCAAGCGTCAGTTAAAGATCATCCCGTCTCCAGACCCCCATCTCTCAAAAGAAGGCTTTTTCACTGACCTAGGGCATCTGGACTCGGTTCAAGGTTGTTGTTCTTGGCAGTGACCATCCTCCGGACAGTAAGGAGCTGAAGGACGAAGAAAAGCTCCAAGAAGAGGTTTGGAACCAGGTTCTCTGGATACAAAAAGAGATACCATAGTACTAGACACTACTTGGAATCCAGGTTCAGTTCTACATGCCTGATCAATTCTCTTACCCTGCATTTTCACAAGTTTATAATTATCACCACTCCAGCTCCTTCTTTCTCACTCACCAGCAATGCATGAGGAGTAGACAAGGGCCACCAGTTCCAGGCGCTGCCGGCAAGACACTCTGGCAGGGTCAGCAGGTTCATCTGTGAGGTTTCCTGTCCGGGTAGGGATTGGTGATCCCGATTCTGGGGTGGGACAGGTGGGGACAGGTGACCGCTGCAGCTGCTTAGAGCTATGGGGATAAAGAGATGCCATGAGCAATGAGCCTGGCTTCCCTACTACAGCCACACTCAGGTCCCTCCAGAGAAGACAGCAGCAGCCCAAGAAACCTATAATCCCCAAGGGGAAAACAAGTCCAGGGTAAAGCCATGCGGATGTCCCACAGGGAGGAAGCTAACATTGCAGGGAGTGGCAAGGCCATACCGCTCCTTCCTGAGCATCTCCCGCTCTTCTTGCAGACTTCTGCACCCTGGGGGAAGGCCTGGGCCCCAAGGGCTAGTGTCCAGGGCTGAGGGTTGGGAACTGGGGACACAGCTGATTGGGGGTGAGGTGAAGCAGGTCTTGGGCTTGGAGAGTGACCGCTCTTCGCTCACCGGAGTTGGGTTGATCCTGCGTGAAGGCTTCGTCCTGCTGAGAGCAGCCACAGGTATTTCTCAAATTCCTACCTTCAAACACCTCCCCCTCCACAACCACAACAGCTGAGCCTCTCACCAAAAAAAAAAACCAACCCCCCCCCCCATCATCATAGTTATCTCACACTCGACCACTGTTGTGCTCTGCTGCAGAGCACCCAGCCCTGACTTATTGACTACCCTAGCAGAGCCTTAGAGCCACCCATCTCCTGCATGAGGGCTGATTCTCACCCTGTAGGGCCGGGGGGAATCGAGCCTACGGGAGGGAACTCCTCCAGGTTGCTGAGGTTTGGTGGATCAGAGAGCGCCAGGCTGGGACTGCTGGGGTTGCCGGAGCTCCTAAGCCTCCGGCCCCCGGCCCAGGGCGGGCTCTCCCCGCTGACCCCCTCCTCGGCTGCTCCCGGGCCGCGGCCTCCTCGCTCCCGGGCCGGTCCGGGGCACCGCCTCCTGCCCCCGCGGCGGCCTGGAGGGGCCTCGGCAGCGGTGCTCGGGGGTTCGGTGGGAGGGAAGAGCTGGCTGCGCGCCCCACGGCTGCCCCGCGAAGGGCCTCCTGGCCTCCCTGGCAAGGCTGCCGAGGCGCCCGGGGCCTTGGCGGGGGTTGGGGGGCCCTGTGGGAGGACGCGGCTGCTCTGCTCTCTCAGGAAGTTCAGCAGGAACGGGACGAATTCTTTCCGTAGTGGCCGGAGTGAGCTCAGAGCGGCTGCCTCCCCAGGGTCATCCTGGGGAAGAAGAAGAGGTTGAGGAGCAAGAGGGTCAGCTGCCAGGCCTGGGGGCACGAGCAGCCAGGGCCGCAGGTCGCGCCTGGGGTGGGTGGCCCACTCCTGGGCGGCCCAGGCACCGGCGCCCAGTTGGAGCTCACTCGGCCCGGGCCGGCAGCCAGGCATCCCGGAGGAAGGGAACTGGAGGGCTGATATCTCCCGCGGGAAGCAAATTCCCGTCAGGCATGGGGGCGTGTCAGCGCGGTACCTCCGAACTCTGAGTGCTGCGCGCGATCCACCGTACCGCTGCTTCGACCGACACCTCCTCTCGCAGCAGCGACTCCAAAACCGCCGCCATCCCGGTCGGGGCGCCCTGGAGCGACTGCGCAGGCGCCGGCGCGCCACGGGCGGCCTGGGAGGCGGGGCCGGGGGCGCAGAGCGGCCGTTGGGTCGCGGGGCGGGGGGGGGCCGGAAGCGGGGCGGGGCCAGCGGGCGGAGGCGGGGCCAGCGGGCGGAGGCGGGGCCGTCTTTTGCTCGGGCCTGTAGTGGAGGCTTGGCTGGGTCCGCAATAGTCACCAGCACAGCGGGTGGCAGACTGAGCACAGTCACGCAGTCCCCAGGCTTGAGCTGAGACTAGGGACCTTGCGGGAGGTACGCAACTCTGGGAAGACCAAGGGCCCAGGAGAGCAGACAGAGGGTAAAGGTGAGAAATTCTCCGAAAAGAGACACACCACCCTGTGACTGCTCTAAGCACATTCAAGAGTTGTTTTCTAGATTCAGCGGTTACCGTCCTAAAGAAGTTATGAAGTTAACATAACCTCTCATTTTGACCTTGTCTTCTCAAAGGCTGACTTATCAATCCTTTGGTCAAGCAGCTTTTCAGCGCTCACCATGGATTGACTATTTACTACATGATTCTTGGTCTGGGGTTTTTTATAATCCCCAAGCCACCACAATCCTTAGAGTGCCTTAGGCTACCCTACATCCAGAACTGCCAGTTTGTAGGTTTACTCCTTTACATATTGTAATAATAGGTTTACTTCAAGTGAATGTTTCAACTGTTTTGCAGTTGAGACGTCAAGAGGCAAATTCATGACTAGGTTTTGGGAGCTTATTTCTTAATCTCATGTTTTTTATTATTTATTTTGAGAGAAAGTCTCACTCTGTCGCCCAGTCTAGTGCACTGGGTCAGCCTCGCTTACAACAACCTCAAGCTTAAGCAATCCTCCTGCCTGAGCCTCTCGAATAGCTGGGACTATAGGCACCAGTCACAAAGCCCAGCTAATTTTTTTTTTTTTTAATAGTTAGTAGACACTGGGTCTCACTCCTGCTCACGCTGGTCTCAAAATCCTGAGCTCAAAGAATCTACCCACCTTGGCCTCCCAAAGTGCTAGGATTACAGGTCAGAGCCACCAGACCCAGCCTCTCTCTTATTTAAAGAAAAAAAAAAAAACCCTAAGAGACAGCATATTGGATGTTGCTCATCAGTGAGGAATCAGGAAGGGAGTCCAGGCAGAGACAAACAGATGGCACTAACATACCAGACCAGAATAGGGGAAGCAGTGCCCTTGTGAATGCCTCCTGAGAGTTCCTCTGGTTCAAAATAAAGTTGCAGGCAGAAAGGAGAGGGTGGGGTAAGCAGGAATCCCTCCAGTACAAAGGGTATATTTCTTGTGGAGGAGGAAAAAGTACCTCCAGCCAGACAGAATGAAAAGGAGCTTTAAATACTTTTAATTTTATTAGAGGGAAACCATCTCCTCATATCTCTGAACTCTGGTTTTCACCTGCAGGGACACTGAACACCTAGTTTCTATTCCATCTAGGACTTCTTTTTCTAGGTCACTTTTGGATGTGGTACTGCAATTACAGTGACACTTTCTGCTCCCAGTTGATCTTGTAAACTTTGATGCATTCAATAACTTTATTAAATCAAAAATACTTCCCACCTGAAATCCAAACCATCACACAAATAGAGTTTGCATGCGGAATGAATATTTTATTACTAGATTATAAAAATAAAATACAAAATAATTTTAAAACAGAACTTAAAACACTGTACAAAGCTTTAATATGATACAAATGGGAAAATTAAATAAATATTACACTTTTATGTACAGATGGCCTATACAAAAGCATTCTATGTCTCTCCCAATACTTTATATGTCCTTGGTTGCCTGAGCAAAATCGCACAAAGGGAGCTACTTGGAGGGGAAAGGGACACAATACAGTACCACTGGAGGTATTTCAAACAGCAGTTTCTCATCTCTCTGACAGCAAGAAGGGAAGAAAGGGAAAGAAAAGTGACATTATTAAAGTCATCTATTCTAAATCGTTGGTCTTGTTCAACAAGAGAGAATTCTGCTTTGTGGCTGAATCTGACAGCTAACAACAGCTCATAATTTTTAAGATTTATATCTAATTCCTATGTAGATGTTTGCCCCCTCCCTCTTTTCACCTAAAAGTTGGGAACTTGTAAGTAAATGGCCCAATGACATACATACTGCCTATTTCAGAAAAGGAGTCAGAAGTGGGACTAGGAACTGTGTGTTAGGGAGAATGAGGGGGGCTCAGGCCTGTGTCATACCTAATCCAATCTCAAAGTCGCAAGTTTTATTTCCTTAATCTTCTTACCTTTGTATTTCTGAACGCTTTTTACCTTAGTGGACTAATACACCTATCTGGTGAATAGATTAAAGAGAAAATTGTTTTGGAAAAAGTCTTAAGGGCTCTTTCCCCTCCCTGGGTATCTCCCTGAAGTAAATCACATTCAAGCTCTGGTAGCCTTGTTTTTACCCCTTGTAGGTGAGTGAAGGATACTCAGATAGAGTACAGTAAAAGAGGAAAAAAGCATCATACAGCATGGGTAGTCTATATAAAAACTTTGTTTACTCAGCTCTTTTAATTAGGTGAGTGAACACTTACTTACAAAACAATAATAAACTACTAAAAACACATAAAATTCCTATCCATTGTTATGGAAAATTAGGTTATCAACAAATTATACGGTCACAGGGGCTAAAAGATCTGCCTCATCCAATTCTGTTCTCTAGGTTAAGGGACCCAGAATCCTTGGCCCAAGTATCTGAAAGACATAGGCAGAATCACCAGCACAAATACTGTGCCCATTTTTACTTTTAGTTAAAAGGGAGGCAGAAAACTGGCAATAAAAGGAAAGGCTTCACTTCTTTTACCTGTCTCCTTAAGACCAAGGATCCAGAAAAGTAAGGAAATAAATCATTACTGAGTAATTTAACTTCTTTGCTATTCAGTGTCTTGAGATTGGGTGGAACTTCAAGTTGATCTTGATACTGTCACATAAGTTACTTTTGTGATCCATCTTTGCTCAAGGGGAATAATTAAACATCAAGCTTACATAGTTTTTAAGTAGGAGCAAACAATGACAAGTGAATTAGAAAATGTCTTGATGGGCCAAGACTTTAATGTCATCCTTTCATGTCCAGCCAGGGATTGAAGTGTGCAGCATCTGAATTTCCCTTTAAGTGGACAAGAATCCTTGTCCCATGTCCTGGAGTTATCTAAGAACTACAGGAATTCCCTATATACTTCCTGTAGTTTTCCTTAGCAATGTAGGGTAACAGAGTCTGAAGGATCCTGAGATTATTTTACTTATATTTCTCATAATTCCAGATGCAAGGCCAAAATATTGAGAATACCCAATGATACGGTGCGTTTCCACTCTACTTCCACAACCTCAGGTTCACACCAGAGTTTCATCAGGTGAGGACAGGGAAGGAGGATATCCTGACAACCACCTAGGATTTTCAATGTGCTCTATATCCTCCCATATGATCTGAGGACTAGACCTTCCTTTAGTTCACTTCTCTAAGTTAAGGTCTCAAAATGCACCTGTGTTTTCTGAACTTGTGTATATACTATATTGACATGTAAGGACTACCACAGAAGTTACATGCCTTGATCCTGAAATACTTGTGGTATTCACAGTTTAGTAGAAAATCTGCTAATAGACTGCCTATAGAACCAAAACTCAAGAAAGTTCAACAGTGTAACAGTGGCTATCAACCATTCTATCTCCTCAGTGATACAAGTGTTAAAGTATCTCTCCCCTTAAGTTAAGTCCCAACACGTCTATGGTAAATACATATAAAGAGAAATGAGCAGATTTTAATATAGTAAATGCAAACAACTTAATTCCAAAACATGAACATACAGAAAAAATGGTTCTCTAACATATATCATGTTTTGATAGATATAAAGGAATGGAAAAAGTTTCTAAAATATGAAAAACTTTGATCTCCAAGACTAACTCTAGACTTACCTACAAATAAATATATTTTCAAATAGCCAGACTAAGATGTATTTTTTTCCTAAGTCTCATTAAATTCTGAATTCTGGATCCTATTTTTCCTATCACCAATTCCTAATGTTAGATTAGGAATGTAAAAACTGGGGGGGGGGGGAAGCATCTGTTTTTAATTCAAAGCTATTGGGTATAGAAAAACTAATTACAGTTTTAACTATCTGTGTCTGGGTTTATAAAACATGCGCCAATGTACATTTTTCCCTTGTAGGTTGAATGCAACCATAGAAACGTTAGAATAAAAATCCATGGCCTGGAAGGAATCTCTGAGACTACTGAAGAACCTCAAAGTTCCCATTGTGGCTAGGGGCTAAGCAAAAAGAGATACTGTATATCTAGAACACTAAATTAGTAAGCAGCTGAGATTTCTTTAGTATTTGAAAGCAAATAATATGAAGTGGGTAATGACTACAGTGGGTCTCAATTACCATTCTGCTACTTATTTAAGACTTGATTAACTTGGCAACTTTTACAAAAAACATTCACTTCACAACATGCAACTTAAAAAACAATAAATGTAACTATGCCACTGTTAGCAAGGCCAGCTTGCATACCAGAGTTGAGAATGAGAGTGCTTGCTTGCTTAACATTCAAAGATATTTGTAATCTGTGTTTTAAGGTTAAATTTAATATAACTCAATTTTCCTTTTTTGTTCAATTCTACTTACAATTAAATGCCTTTAAGCTGCGCAAGCGATTACTATGTGGGATTTTATTATTTCAACCAATCCATATACCCAGGAGATTTGGCAGCATAATTTAAGGGAAATGCTACCTAAAGAGATTGAGCTGTTCCATCTTCTGTTCCACCCAAGCAATTCCAATACAAGGGGGAGCAAGAACAATCTTGAGTAGGTAACCATTCCTTCTGTTGTGAAGAAACCAGGAGGTACTTGATTTTCAAAAGACAATATCAACTTCTGCCTCATACTACTTTCAGTATAATTTGGCTTGACTTTAATGGCATGTCCCTCATCTTAGGTAAAAACCAAATTTGTTTAAAATTACTTGGATGATCTATGTCACTAATTTCTGAATTATGCCATCACACACACACACAAAAACCCAAAATAAATAACAAAGAACAACAACAACAAAAAAAAAACCAAAAACCTCATTCTTTGTATTATACTTTAAATTAAAACAAAAATTAAAGTCCTTATGCCAAAAGTTCTTGCTCAGAGCTGCCAACTTCTATTTTTAGCTTGACTAACATCTAACATCTAAAAGCATGAACTATGCTTTTCAAAACCATAAAGTAAATCTCAGTATAGGATAGTACTTTTAAGTGGACCTATTGATACATTAGATATCATCTGTCTGTTTTCTTTTGAAAGTATCTGAGCAGAAGCATCTTTGGTTAACTCTTTCCTCTACAGGCAAAATAAAATATTCTGACACAGTGAGACTGTTTATCTCTGGGTCTTGATGAGTTTGTAAATGCCATTTAGAAAAGGGGGTAACACAGTGGGAAGGCTGGAAGAAAAATGTCAGAACCGGAGAGAAAGAGAGAAAGAAAACATTCAGTTGCCACACTGCCCTCACTGTCAGTTTTGACTGCCAGCACAGAAATGCTGGTAAGAAATAAAACCCCACACATACCACAGTTGTAGCTTTATCAGCTTTTCCAATGGTTACTAGCAGCACATTCCTAATGAGAGGGGTCAGGATTTAAAGCTGGCTATTTTTAGCATAATATAGCTAATACAACAGGAAAAAGAATGTATTAATTATCCCCCCTAAAGTCCTCTACACAAAAGTGATGTGAAAAAAAGAAAGTAGGATGACACTTTTACAGCTTAAAAAATCTACTTATGTCAGACCCATGATTATCATCCCAGTTACCCACTCTAACCACAAGGACAGAACTGTGTGATTAACATGACAAATCACTGAACCAGTATTACAAGCATGTCCCAGTTATTTTTTTCCCCTAACATAATATTTTAAAATGAAAAATAACTTATCTTGGCTTGTTAAAGACTGCCAAACCTTCCATTACCTACAAGGAAGGCAAGAAGAATCTGAGGTGTCACATGCCAAGAACATACTTTCAGAAAAATAAAGACAGGCAAGGCCCAAGTGTACACGAGGCACACGATAGAAAAGCAATTTCGCCATCTGTGATCTTAAAATTACAAATGGAGAATGAGAAAGAATGAGTTTATATAAGCATATGTCTCTCTATACATTTATAAATATGTATATAATTTACCATGAAGACATGCAAATAGTGTTATAGCAACTTTTATACAATATAATACAGAACGATAGGTCTTCCAATATTACAGTTGCTTTAGATAAACAGCAAATACGTCTTATCTATTGCATTCCTCTGTAGTGTTTGCAACTGAAGAGAAATTAAGATTCCATTCTAGCCTACATTTCTTATAAGAGACCTTTTATGCCTCTATAGTGTTTTTAGTTTGTTTTTTTAAAAAACCTCAACACAGATAAAGAGAACAAGATAAGTTCAGTGCAGCTTCAGGGCAGCTTTGATGCAGCATAGAATATGTTCACTTGGTGAGGAAATGTATTTCTTTCATTTTTTTGCTTTCCAATTCAATAATATTAGGTTTGGCAGCAAATACAAGGTCAAATAGAAAGCACAGATGTTTGCTAGAAGGCAAATTTCAATAGTAAGCAGAACAATTTATCTGACCTTAGTAAGGTCTTTACAACATAAAACACCTAGAGAGTATAAAAGAGCCTGTTTAAAAAGTCTGATATACTTAATTTCGCCCAATTCCTGGTAGCAGAAGAGTAAGATTAAAACAATGATCCTCTGTACAGTTTCATAAATTGAAATGACATGGAAATCAAGCCAAGAGCCCAAATACAGAACTAAACTATAGGAGAAGTAATAAAACATTAAAAGAAAAATATTTAGGCTAAATTTATTTCCTCAGATATTCATTCCTTATTGACCAAATGTATAAAATACAAAGTTTGAGGATTACAAACCTCAATAATACACCTAATTTCTTAATATTTTTCTTTCTAAATCTCTAAAGTCACAATGCAAACCACTGTCCTTCCCTGGTATCATCTTAGAAGTTGACATTAGAAATAATTGGTATCTAGAAGACTTAAGGAAACAGACTACTGTGTTAGTTTTCCTTCTACAAGGAGGAAACTTACCAGGGCGGAAGAGAGTTCTTCTATTATAAAGGATATTGCACCACACTTTGGCCCTCTCCCCCTAAACACTAAAGCCTGCAAAGCAGCTCTAATTAGAATTTTCTTTTGTTCATGTAAGTTTCTCAGTTATTTTTCACAACAAAAATGTACTAGTTTAAAAACTGTTGCTCCCTCCAAAATTATTAGGGGACTAAAAAAAAGGATTTAAAATTCTATTTAAATTAGATTTAAAACTCTATTAGGACATATTTTTCAAGATAAAAGAAAAGGGATCAGAGCAGGCAAGAAACAATGGCTTTAAAAAATGTGAAATTCAGGGAGGTTACTAGGAATGAGGTAAAGTAAAGGTGTGAATTCTCCATACTCTGAATAAACACACAAACCAAATATATTTGAGTACTGGCTCCCTGGCAACAGACTTCTTATACAATCTAATATCTGAGTAATGACTCTCCAGGGTTGTAAGTTTTGAATGAAAATATCAAACAAGAAATTTCATTTTTGCTATATAATCTTTGAGTAGAGGATTAAAAAATTAGGCAAAACCCCTTAAAATTTCATTCTGACTCCTATCCTAACTGCAGCCAAAAAATGAGAACTCATTTAATCAGTTTTTCCTGCTTGGATTTTGCTGTATTGCCCCTTCCTATGCAAAGGCATTGATTCCTGATCTGCTTGTTGCTTGCCATAGGTAATTCCTTATCATACATGTATGCCTTCTTAGAAATAATTGATCATGTTTCTTTTGCAAGAGAAGATCAACACTGATTTTTTTGAATAGACAGTACGGGGACACACATGCATCAGGTTTAAGAGGAAGATCTCACACCTTTCATAGAGATGCAGCCCGGCTCCTATCTGCTGAGTTTACTGGCTGGCTTACTCTTCCCTGGGGGAGTTTTAGTGCTGGCTGAGTGGTGGTGGAGGCTGCCTGATCCTTTCAGGCCATTCTTGCTGGGTTTGCAATGCTCTTGTTGGCAGGACCTCCTAGAAGAGGAAGATCCTGAGTGGCTGGGAGGTGACTTGCTTCTCCCCAGATGTGGGGATGAACTCCTCTGGTCATGGTGTGGCCGTCCAGACCGAGATGGTGAGGAACTGGATGTGCGAGGCAATGATGAGCTTCGAGGAGAGGCACTGGGACTCCTGCGAGGGACAACTGGACTCTTGGGTGGTGTTTTTGGAATGTGAGGCGATCCTGGACTCTTGCACTGAGTAGTGCTCCGGGGTTTCTGAGATCCATTTTGAAGAATTTGGGCCAGGCGGGAAAAAAGGTCGGAGTCAGAGTTACTACTCCCTAGGACTTTATATCTGCGTAACCTTAAAAGAACAGAGAAGACATGTTCTCATTTTAATTCATATGTCAAGCATGCCTAAAAAGTCATGATGTCTCAAATAATGTGTATGATGTGTGTTGAAATCTAAAAATACAGTAATAGGACACAGAGTTATTCTTTCACATACTTAGTTATATGACACCTGAACAAGTTATTCAACCTCTCCCAGCTTTCAAAAGGAATACCACCTATATCACAGGGCCACTGAACAGACCAAGTGCAGGAACCCAAGTATTTAGAGGAGTATCTGCCATGGAGAAGCACTTAAATGATGCTAGTGCCTTCCTCTTGTGGCATGCTTGGTCTACTAATTTTAGTATTAACTTAATGAATTGTCTCTAGCTTGTTAGTACATGAGAATGTGAACCACATTGTATAAGGCTGCTAGGGCAGGATTCTGCAAACTTTAAATCCTACAACGTTAAGTCTTCCCACTATACTCACCAATAAGCAGGAACTACAGATTAAAGTATATTCTAACCTCACTCTCTGGACCTCAGTTTCTGCCTCTGTCCATGGCCTGCGATTCAGGAGAGATAGGTGTGGGCACTGACTGCCTACCTTACTGGCAACTGAGCTTCTGCCTCAAAATTCTAAATCTAGTATTCATATGAATATCAATGTCTTCTTTACTATAAATGTCCTGGTTTGGCCTAAGAATCAGATAAAATGGTATATATAATTGTTTTATAAACTATAAAGCACTCTATAATAGTGTTTTAGTGGCAATAATAATGTAATAAGGGGCTTTAGGGCCCTTTAAATAATAAAACTAGCGTACTTAAAAGTATATAGCAAAGGAACATACAAATGACTCCAAAAAGATCTCCATGTTTTGGCTCAGTACCTATAGCTTAGCAGCTAGAGTGCCAGCCATATACAACCAGAGCTGGTGGGTTCGAATCCAGGCTAGGCCTACCAAACAACGAGAACTACAACCAAAAAATAGCCGGGCATTATGGTGGGCACCTGTAATCCTAGCTATTTTGGAGGCCGAGGCAAGAGAATTGCTTAAGCCCAAGAGTTCGAGGTTGCTGTGAGCTGTGACACCATGGCACTCTACCCAGGACGACAGCTTGAGACTCTATCTCAAAAAAAAAAAAAAAA